AAAATATATTAAAAGATCTAAACCAGATGTGCTTGTGCTTGTCTCTCCTTGTCAGCGGACTTATGACCGACTACCGCCTTCATTGCGTAGTCAGTTCCGTGTGGGGGGAGGTTCACGCCGCCACCTCTTGGCCCCTTCTACCTCCTCACACTTACATCAGCGCTATGGTTCCCCACGCTGTAATGTTTGCAGTAACATTTAGTACTGTTTTTTAATGTGACCTCTTTCTCTCTCTCAAATGGGACATGTTAAGCAAAGATGAAGTCTTGTTATACTTTTTTTTTCTCTCTTTTTTTTTTTTTTTTTTTTTTTCAAGATTGCAACAAGGTTGACTTTTTCTTCACTTTTTTTTTGTTTGTTTTGTTTTCCTTTTTTTTTTCTTTTTCTTTTTTGTGTGTAGTAATGAACTGGGTTTATTTCAGAGAGGCCAACATGAGAATATATGAAATATTTATATAACAGTAAAGACACCTCTGTTTCTTTTTCGCTGTCCATACTATATGCATACAAAGTAGATGACTCAGTAGTAAATAATGAGAGGAATGATTGAAGTAGGTCCCTAAGTACTGCTTTTACAAAGAATCCCTGAAGAGCCAAAATAAGGCATTTTGTAATGATTCTATTAAAAAAAATTAAAAATGCATAAATATGTCTAGATTTTCTCTTAGCATGTTAACCTCTCTACAGTAATTAAGTATCTTAAAAAAAGCTTCATGTCCTGTATGTGCTGCATGTAAGCATCCACATAGAATATGCCAAAGCATTGTAAATTATCTCTCCACTTTACCCTAGGATCTGCACTGTATTATTTGACATATTCTGTATATGAATAGTGCTATATGAGTGCATGATATAAAAGCCTGCTTGTATTTAAGTACTTTTATTTGCCAGAATCTTTGAAAGTCAAAGTAACAGAAGTTCCTCAACACAAAAATCAGTTCCATTGAATTTAATTTTTTTACTATGAATATGTTATATTCTTGCAGAACCTCTCGTCGGTCCAAGGAAGGTCGCCCAGGCCATCACGCGCGCGTCGCTATGCGTCAGTTTCGCCAGGAAGGCGCTCTGACCAGCCGAGGAAAACACTAACTTTCACATGAACTGCTAAGACAGTGTTGTGAAAATGTTATCTTTGTTCAGAAGTTAGCTCAAACTTCTCTCAAGGCTGATCTCAATGTACTGTTCTGTATGTTCTGTATGTCTTCAGTGAGACCAGATCTGATGCCAGCAGAATGATTTACTCGTTCAGATTGTCTTGGAAGTTGGATTTTGAAGACTTGTATTCCCAAGCCAGTTTGTGGCTTGGGTTCCTTCTCACGGAGAAGTCTTTGTTTGTAACCTTCATTCTGTAACATTTTACTTTATTGTTGAGTAAAATAATAGCAGCTTGAAGGTCTGAAATTACTGCCAGTACTTGTACTTTTGGAGGATTTATTGAACTGCTATGAACACTGCCACAAAATATTTCTTATAGTGCTCATGATTCCTGTAAATGACTATTTAGAGCTGAGGCTTAATACTTAGAACAGTGTTGTGGACTGTTGATATGACCGTGTTCGTTGCTGCAAGTTGAAGCAATGGGATCATTTTGATATATAAATGCACTAGTTTGGTGCTCTGAATAAGTGGTGAATATTTTCAAGTACGTTTATAGAAATAAAAATGAACAATATGTAGTTGACCATTGTATTATAAGCTTATATTGTTTACAGTACAAACCGGAGAGTGGATCAAGGTTCTATTTCTAGTCAAATGACACTCAAGACTGATTTAACACTGCTGATGATTCCTGGCAGGCCAAGTTATACTGAGTTAGATGGTTTACTTCGGGAAAATCCACCGTGTCCCAGTTAAATTTGAGTATTAAAAAAAAATTGTCCTACCAGTGTAACTGTTACTTGTTATTTAAGGTCTACTTAAAGATACAAAATTCTATTGCACATTCCTAGACATGAATCATACAGTTTAGCTGTAGGAGCACCCAACACGTCCATTAGGTGTGCCTTCATTTGTTTAAAACTTAGTCTTAAGATTGATGGTTAAATGTTGTAAAGTTTAAAACAGTTACCACATTTTGTTTTGTTGCACCAACACTTTTTGTTATGTACACAAACAACACAAGTCACACTTGAGCAGATCTTAGGAATCAGGTTTCATATGATTATTATTATTTTGAATTCTTTGAGAAAAGAGATATCATTAGATGTTAGAAGAATAGGCTGCTGTTCAAAAAAAAAGATATTCCATTAGTTTTAGTTGTAAAATATTTGTTATTTTTTTCCCCCTATTTTATGATAATTAACTAGTTTCTCATATTTAATTAGGTGATTTAGATATATCTATGTTCCGTAGCATTTTGTACAATGTTACTTTCTTATTGATCTACCTGTAGATCAGCAAGTGAAGTTTTAGAAGCAGGTCACCAAGTGTATGCTCAGTCCAAATGTATAGCACAAAATCACAAATGTATTGGGACTTCACCTCTTCTTTATTGCAAGAAAGGCAAATGACAGTCCCATATATCACTTTGGCCACACCCCCCATGGTTGACATACTGTCATAAGCATAACACTTGATATATATATATATATACATGTATGTATATTTTTTTTCTTTGTAAAGAATATGTATACTATTTAAATGACATCATTCATCAACAGTTTTGGTATAGATCATCCTGACTGGAACAATATGGGATCAAGTGACTGCCTCAGAAACCTTAGCCTTTACTTTTGGGTAACTGTCATTTCTATTATCAATAAAAATAGCAAACTTTGCATGTCATGTAGACATAGATAAATATAAGAAAAAGTCAAGTGAATGTGAGTTTTATTTTTACCTCTCTTTCTCTCATTCTTTCTCTCTTTCTCTCTCTCTCTCTCTCTCTCTCTCTCTCTCTCTCTCTCTCTCTCTCTCTCTCTCTCTCTCTCTCTCTCTCTCTCTCTCTCTCTCTCTCTCTCTCTCTCTCCAGAGCAAACCATCAAAACAGCAAATGGATCTTTTTGTGCACTACAATAGTGATCATTGCCAAAACTTTCTTCAATCAGCACAAGGAAAAGTAAAGTATATCCATGCAGGTAAATACAGCAACTGGATCTTTTTGTGCACTACAATAGTGATCATTGCCAAAACTTTCTTCAATCAGCACATGGAAAAGTAAAGTATATCCATGCAGGTAAATATAGCAGCGGTCATTTAGACTTGTGTGGAAGGTTATTATACAAATATGAAAGTTGGATCATTGACCGTAGAATGTGATCTAAAGAAAATATATCTACTGACTAAGAGAGATGAGTTTGTTATTCAGAAATAATGCTGAAATATCAAGATATGGTAGAAGAAAAATGAATATGAAATGAAGTTTCCATCACACCATCCAAAACAGAAAACTTAAGGCCAGTTACACCATGCTGCATTTCATGCAAGGCAGTAGCTTCTTTTGTCACCAATCCCCCCCCACCCCCAACCCCTTGCTCATTGTTGTCAGGAGGGTTTATGAGACAGAGACTAGGACCTAATGTAAGGGATCACCCCTGCCTTGGACCTCAGCCCTTGCCTCAACTAATTTTGCATGTTCTTTTCTTCTCCCCCTTTCGTTTCTCTTTTCTTATTCATCCCCTTCTGTCCACTTCCTAAGGTGTGAGAACCATAATGAAAGGATGAAAGGCTGGCTCTGTCAGTCATGAACAGCGCCCAGGAGTCATGGGCATGGTATTCCTTTGGTTAATCGTCTAGCCCTTACCCCTCTTGGGGACTCTGCGGGGTAGACCGTTTCCTCTCCCCATTGATATTAGGCTCACCATGGCCAAAAAAAATAAAAATTACTCTTAATAGGGGCATTAAAGCTTTCCTCTTTATCAACTATCTAAATTTGACTTCATCGGTTTCCCGACCCCTGCCTTTCCTTTAACCACGGCTGCGACCTCGATGTTTGCTATCAACTCGATCCATTCCGAATCATCCACCTCCAGAATGCACCCCTTCCTCTCTCCTAACATCCTACCAACTCCACCTCCTACGACATACTCTTCTTCATTGTCTACCCCTACCACCTATACTACTACTTTCATCCCTATTGTCCTCCTCCCAATAGTACTACCTCTCACCATGCTACCCCATCTTCCCGTCCTCTTCGTTCTACTGCTTCCACCTCTGCAAACCTATTGAGTACCATTTTTGGCCCAGGCAAATGGGATCGATTCTTTGTGATTCCCCCTACAGACCCGTGCCCTGACAATACCCTTCTCTTCAAAAAATGTCTCCAAAAACAGGTAGGCAAAGTTTCCTCTCGCAGTCGTTCCGATCGTTCACGCCTTGTCACAGATACATCGGAGTCCCAAGCTAATGCATTATCTACCCTGACTGACCTCACTGGCAAACCTATTCCTGTCCAACCTCACTCCTCCCTTAATACTTGTATCAGAACTGCTTCCATCTCTCCGATTGATTGTCCTCTCTGTGATCGGCCCTACGCTTCATCCTGCTTCATACGTGGTGGATTCTTCATATTCCAGTGGGGGGGGGGCAGTATTCCCCTAGGGTGGGGGTCGCACAGCTCACTTTCCTTCATATTTTACCCCACAATTTCTCAGGTAACCATCATGCCCTGCTCTACTATCGGGGTCAAGGTCGTGTTCAGAACGATTACCATAACCAGCTCATTGTCAGCTGTCGCCGACCCCTGTCTGAAGTGTGTACGCTTATGCCTCCGTAATAAAGGGCGTCCGACATACCTCAGTGCTCTCAACTATGTTCATTAAAGCCAGACGATATCAATGATCTTAGTCTATGAAGGATTATTTAGGCACCCCTTGACGTAAAGAGTGCCAGAGGCTCAAACCCTGTGGTACATATATACAGTAATCAGTTGTCGTTCTTTGTCTTAAGAATTCTGGGCTAGGCTGAATGATGAGCTCTTTCAGGGGTTCTCTGCAGTTCGATTCCCCAGATGCTTGGGACTACCCAAGCAAACTCTGAACAATAGTGAGATGCAGAATATTTACAGTGCAGAAATGTCATTAATTGATAATGTGTGGGATAGTTGTGTATGTGTGATAGAACAGTAGCATACATAGCACATGCTTAAAATTAATACAATATTAATTTGCTATTATTCTTTTGCATTCCCTGACTCTCGTTTCCTCTTTCTCTAATGATTATCTTGACATATGAACAATTGTTACAAAACAACACTTATTCTGATTGTCGACTTACAATATGATGTATTAGCATACCTTTACCAATATTCATGGAACTTTTCTACGGTAAATTCTCATTGGAACGTCTTATAAATTTAACACCGGCTTCTCCTTCCCCTGTATTTTCCCTTTTGCAAAGTATCCGCCTCATATTGCTTCAAAGTTCTCCGTGTTTATGACTCAGCCTTTTAAAAACTCGGGCAGACGGAACAAAGCTATGTTGTGGGGCTTCATTCTCCAGTCAATATTATAGGCTGTTCCCTCTCTCTTTTCCGTTCATCACGAAGGAAATTCAAGACATAACCGCATAGTAATGATAGTATTAATAATAGCTATGAGAGTAGTAATGAATATTATCATTATTGTTATTATTATCGTTATCATCAGTGTTAGTGGTAGTAGTAGTAGTAATAGTAATTTTCAACACCACGTGAGATGGACTTCAGGCGGGAAATGAAGGGGTCTTGGTCTGTGGGTTTATTACGGAAGGTAGATGAAGACCCCCAAGAGACCCGAGGGAGGGAAGTGACGAGCTTAAACCCACGTGTCGTCTGTCTGCCGTCTCTCTCTCTCTCTCTCTCTCTCTCTCTCTCTCTCTCTCTCTCTCTCTCTCTCTCTCTCTCTCTCTCTCTCTCTCTCTCTCTCTCTCTCTCTCTCTCTCTCTCTCTCTCTCTCTCTCTCTCTCTCTCTCTCTCTCTCTCTCTCTCTCTCTCTCTCTCTCTCTCTCTCTCTCTCTCTCTCTCTCGCTCTCTCTCGCTCTCTCTCTCTCTCTCTCTCTCTCTCTCTCTCTCTCTCTCTCTCTCTCTCTCTCTCTCTCTCTCTCTCTCTCTCTCTCTCTCTCTCTCTCTCTCTCTCTCTCTCTCTCTCTCTCTCTCTCTCTCTCTCTCTCTCTCTCTCTCTCTCTCTCTCTCTCTCTCTCTCTCTCTCTCTCTCTCTCTCTCTATCCATCTATCTATCTCTCGCTCTCTCTCTCTCTCTATCTCTCTCTCTCTCTCTCTCTCTCTCTCTCTCTCTCTCTCTCTCTCTCTCTCTCTCTCTCTCTCTCTCTCTCTCTCTCTCTCTCTCGCTCTCTCTCGCTCTCTCTCTCTCTCTATCTATCTATCTATCTATCTATCTGACGTGTCCTTTTATGCGGCGGCTCCCTTCAGAGGCAGGTGCTTGCTTCCGGAGTGTCAGACTCCCCCCACCGTGGCAAAGGAGGGTGAATTCGCAGGGCTTGCGCGAAGGGGAAATGTAGGTCACCCGGAAGGCCTTGGATCAACTAGGCTCGGGTGTGGAAGGTGCGAAGCAGATGCTCCCTCTGATGATGTAGACTCGGGAGGTCTTTGACGGGGCACAGCTTTTGTTTCAACCACGGACATATGTGTGAAACGATACTGTTTACAGCCATGCTATTAGCAATGTTAATGATACTCTCTCCCTCTTCCCTCCCCCCTTCTCTCTCTCTCTCTCTCTCTCTCTCTCTCTCTCTCTCTCTCTCTCTCTCTATATATATATATATATATATATATATATATATATATATATATATATATATATATATATATATCTCCCTCTCTATCTCTATCTCCCTCTCCCTCCCCCCCTCCCTCCCTCCCTCTCAGATTAAGATCCGAGAACATCAAATTGCAATCAGCATACTATTCTAAGATATTACGTTACGGGAGGAGAGGCAACCCAGGTGTTCGCGAGAAGGGGACAGCTGAGTCGACAAAGAAACGTGAGAAAATAATGGTTGGCGTCGAATTGGCGGGAAACAACTGCTTTTGGTGGTGGGAGCTGTGGAGATAAAACAACGTTTATCGCGCGGATATCTTGGGAGGTAATGGGCGATGACGGAAAGAAGAGGTGAGAATAATGAATGCTGATTTCGGTTGTGTAATGATGATGGAGGTTCTTTCTCTCTCTCTCTCTCTCTCTCTCTCTCTCTCTCTCTCTCTCTCTCTCTCTCTCTCTCTCTCTCTCTCTCTCTCTCTCTCTCTCTCGCTTGCTTTTTTTCTATCTCAACATACACTTACAAATCACACACACACACACATATCTATGTGTGTGTGTGTGTATGTGTGTGTGTGTGTTCTTAAAAATGTATTGTAACTTCAAATTATTAGTTTCCGTACGAGCTCCTGATCATTAATTATTCAAATTTCTAAGGCCAGTGCACTTCTGGACAGAACAGGATCATAATTTATCTATAAAAGAGGATAATAAAATTCTTTGTTCTCATAACAATGAATTGCTAAATATACAACTTTCACAAGATCTTTATTGATGTATTATAATGTATTCTGCATCGTGGAGTACATCGGCATAGCGTCAAAATGTTATTCACCAAAACAATGACTTATGTAACAGGAGAGCCAATTTGATCATTTATCGTATCAAAGAAGAGAATGTGATAAATATCTTTCCTTACCTTTTCTAGTTATTCTGTTTATGATATAGTTATACTTGCATATCAATTTGCTTTGTACAAACAGAAATGTAATTGATTTGACAGTTCCTTAAACTTCCCTGTTTTTCATGACTGTTTCTGTTGCACTGACTGGATAGCGCTGTGATTGAGCTTCTTGTATCTATGACTGGTCTATATAGATACTGACTTTTATCTTTTTATCGACCGTGTAAAGTACAATTTGTGCTTCATAATAGGATGATATAAATGAATGTTTTCTCTGGGTATGAAGAAACATAGAGGAGTAACATATACTGGTACAATGTTCAGAATAACAGATCAGTTTTATTCAACAGTTAAAGCTTTACCACTAAGAGCAACGTGATACAGTGTGATTTACTTATCTATGTCACGAATATGACACATCTGGCAGCCACCATAGTCTCTTTATTAAATGCTGATCCCACAAGCCCCCCCCCCCCTAAAAAAACAAAAAACAAAAACACAAAAAAAAACAAAGGCATCTCCCTCACATAGTCATATATACCATTTCATTTGTATTAACTTTATCGGGGGTGTTGATGAGTGGAATAGTTTCTTGTTTATGTGTACTATTCCTGTTTATGTGTCCAACAGATACTTTGTGGCCACTAACAGGTAATTGCCTTGTGGTTAATCACACACTCTATGCATCAAAACAGACACAGGTACTAAATCAAACTTGTACTAATACACATATGACTTTTACAACTAGCCTTTATAGTGCATTACCATTTTTTTTTTCATTTCATACCAAGCAGGCTGGAATCTATTGTTGATTATCACTAGAAAATGCGTTGAAAGAGTGAAGCATATTATTAATGTAACGAGCAATTTACACATCGCCATAATAGTCTTATAATGCAATACATGTTTAGTGCTTAAACATATGTCGCTGCCATGCTGTGATGATCCAAGAGAAGGGTCCCAGCCTACTGGACTTGAGCTGGCCCATTTTTTAATTAAAAGATACTTAGAAGTCTGTATTAGAGTGTGTGTGTGTGTGTGTGTGTGTGTGTTTTGCAGGTACTAGATAACAAAAAAGTAGAAAGTCTGAGTGCCAGTCACAGGAGACTGAGTAACAGAATGATTCTAACCTAATAAACAGATAAGCTGACTAGTATCTCTATCTAGACTGTACTACACAACGAGGTCCTTGCTAACCTAAGCATCACTAACCGTCTAGAAAGGTCAGTGCTTGAAATATCTAGAACAATACACCAGGTTCAGTATAGTAAACTGACTTATGATACTTTCCCTTTTTCTTTTTGGCAATGGAACGCATGTTCATGGTTCGTATTCACATTCTTGTTTACATCTGGTAACTAGTTTCATTACACATTACATTTTACACTTTTGTCACTGGTCAGTTACGTATTCATTACTCAGTTTCATAGTCACGTGTAATGGATGTTTAAAACTTCGCGTGTCAGTTATCCGTATCAATCATGAGGTGGCCAGCCTCAGAATCGCTGTCGGAGTCGCTAGAAAGCAGGTCATGGAATCTCCAAGACGGCCTGTCAGAATCGCCATCTCCAGACAAGTGGGGCTTCTGGTCCCTCTCGCCCTCCGCCATGGGACTGCTGTCTTCTTCCTTGCAGACTACCTGGGTTTTCTGTGCCGCTGAACTGTCGCTGCGGTCGTGACGGAGGTGTGGCAGCTGCGTCGGTGCGTTTTCGGGTTCTCCAGTTGGTTTGGTTGAGAATTTACTTGCACAGGATTTGGCAGTTTTGTCTGCGTGGACTGAAGAGATGCTGGGAGTCTCCTTCAGGCACTTCTTCGGTAGGGTGAAGCTTCCTGGTTTCGTCTCGTGTGGTCTTGTGCGCTCTTCCTGGTGCGTCTGTGGAGGTGTCGAGGTGTCGGAACTGGTAGTGGAATCTTGGCAGCAACGACAGGCTTCCAGAGTCTTTAACTGTTTCGTTTTTGTCCATCTTTGTTTATCCTTCCGTGACTTTCTCTGAGATGTGTCATCGAGAATTCTCGCCTTTACGTCACTTGCTTTATGTTTGCCTGAGTGTTTGTGGTCTCGTCTCGCACCCGAACTGCGTTTAGATTTTTGTCTACTATGTCTGGCAGAGTCGCGAGGGTCTTTCTTGTTAGTGCTGCCAAATTCCTGCTGTGTGCTACCAGTACGAACGTCAGAGGCTGTGAAACCAGGGGTAGTTTTGTCTGTAACACTTTTAGTTGAAGACAGTGGCTGATGTTCATTTTTCTTTGAACCGTGTTTCTGTCTTTTCCTCTCATTCCCTTCACTGCCGCCTTTTAATCGCTTCCTTTGAGATCCCTGGTCCTTTGAGCGCTTATTCTTAGTTCTCGATCCAAAGCTGCTATCCATAAGACATTCGTTCAAGCGCTGAAAGTCCTTCGAGAGATCAAGAGCACCGTCAGAAGTAGACCACCGCGGAATCCCTTCACCAGCAAGGTTCTCTATGCCGGGAAATGCCTTGCCATCCAGCAGACTGAAAACTCTCTCATATGAACTGATTAAAGACTTGTCGTCGAGGGCGTCCTGGCGTTTGGTCGCCGAGGAGGACTCATCGACGGGGACCTCAGGCAGCGATTTCACTTCGGAGTCTCCGTCGCCCCTTGGGAGGCCCGTGCTCTCGCAGGAGGCGGGGGAGCACTTGTAGATCATCTTCCTGACGAGCCGCAGCGACTCTTCAAGGTCGGCCTCCAGCTTCCTCTTGATCTCGAGCGCCCCGAGCGCGTGGGCTTGGTCAGGCAGGACAGGCTGGGGGAGGAGGCCGGAGTAGAGCGGGGAGGGATAGGGCAGAGGCGACGCGGGAAACACCGACGACGACAGGAGCTTCAGTAACGTCGACGCCGGATTCGGAAACAGCGGCGACGACGGCGGCGGAAGGAACGCTGACGAGGAAGAGGACGAAGTGTAGGAACTGGAGCTGACGGACGGCGAAGACGACGACGAAGAGGACGAAGGAGAAGACACGCGGGACGTCGAAGCTTCACCCGACTTGGGCGCCGAGTCAGGGCAGGCTTCCACCGGCCCCTCACGGGCGTCAGGCGCAGGAGGGTCCTTCCTGGGGGGCGTCCCTGGGGGCGGGGTGTCGAGGGGGGGAGCAGGGGGGTCTGAGTCTGAGGAGAAAAATCATGCCATTGGTATCAAGAGCGAATTAAAAAGTAAACATCTAAAGTAAAACAAAGCTGACGCGTCTTTTGGGGGGAGATAAGAAATATGAAACACGATAACAATGCCACAACCTTATTCAAATCATTGCTAAATCATCATATATTTTAATGAAAACTCAGAATTAATCTACACACGTGATGTTGCCTTATCCGAAAGAGAGCGCAAGAAAAGTGAGCTTTATTCCCAGCTTTATTTTTACAAATAAAATCAAATGCAATATCTTCCTTATCTATATTTTAGTTGCCCTTACTATCTAGTTCTTGGTGAGCCTATTTTATCATAATTATTATCATTATTACTGTTACTTTTATTAGTAGTAGTAGTATTCTCTAATTATTAATATTATTATCATTGACTTTTATTATTGATATTAGTAGTAGTGGCAGTAGTATCATTATCATTATCAGTATTACTTTTACTATTATCATCATCATTACTTTTACTATTATTATCATTATTACTTTTACTGTTACTATCATTATTACTTCTATCATCATCGTCATCATCATGATTATGATGATGATGATGATTATGATAATTATTATTATTACTATTATTCTTATTCTTATTCTTAATCTTGTTCTTCTTATTATTATTATTAATTACTGTTATTATTATTATTATCATAATTATCTTTACTGTTATTAAAATTATCCTTATCATTATCATCATTTTTACTATAATAATAATCATCATCATCATTCTCGTCCTCCATCTCTCCCCGAGACCCCGGCGCTTACTGTTCCTCTTGTCCGGCGCGTAGGGCAGAGGCCTCATGGGCGCCGAGATATTGGTGGCTCCAGCGGTCCCCAGGTGGCTCTGCGGTCGCCACTCGAGGTTGACGGAGGGCAGCGGGAGGTCCAAGGGCAGGAAGGGCGTGCTGGGGGCGGTGGAGGCGGCAGCGTCTACGCCCGCGCCACCTGCAGGAGTGGCTCCTTGATCCTGCGGGGACGTCTGGGCCTCCTCCTTGACCCAGACTTCCTCCAGAGGGCGTAGCGTGTCCAGAGTGAGGAGGCTGTGAAGACTGTTGGAAGAGGAGGAGGAGGAGGAGGAGGAGGAGGAGGAAGAAGAGGACGAAGAAGAGGAAGAGGAAGAGGAAGAAGAGGAAGGGGAGGTGCTCGTAGAAGTCGAGGGGGTCCACGCAGGCGAAGACTTGACCTTGGGCGAGGCGAGCGAGGGGGCGGGGGGGCGCGCGGGGAGGATCGGGTCGGAGGGGAATAGGTGGGGCTGCAGCATGTAGGGGGAGGGGTGGTGAGGGGGCGCCAGGGTCGGGGCCAGGTCGGGGAGTGGGGGTGGGTTGGGAGGGGTGGCGGGGGTGGGCTGCGTGGAGAGGCCGATGTCGTCCGCGGAGGAGGGGGGGCGGGCAAGGGCCTGGGACGCCGTGTAGTGGCACTTCTGGCACGTTATTTTCACCTGTTGGGGAGACGAGACAGGTGTGGAGTTATAATCAGACTGCGACTAACTTTAATTATTCTGATGACGTGTCTTGTTGAAATGTATTATATTTTATGATAACGCTACTAATGATTCATGCTAGCTGAGTTAAATTAAAAAAGGGGATATACACTCAATATGAGACAGCTAAAAATAGTATATCAGAAGTCGAAACCAAAGCCACAAATCATCTTTTAAGCTTTTAAGAGTAGGTAGGCCTATAGGTAATTTTTCGACACCACACACTCGAACAACAGCCTCTCCTGACCTGCGTGACGGCCGCCAGGTG